TGTGTAATTACCTCGTTCACCAATAATTTGAAGTGTTCTAGAATTCTAGAATACCACTTTAACGGCATCGCTCGGAATCGTGTAATTCACAAAACATTTCCATTGATGAGAGAGAATTGGTGATTCACCGCATGTCTCAATACAATGAGTGTGAGCGTGGGCAAGCAATAAATCAGAAACTTACAAATTCACGCATGCAAAAAAGCTGCTCCAATCGCGCGTTCTTCATACCGTAGTTGTTTTCGCTGCGGGAGCGCCAGCCTGCCGCGCGATGTCGCGTTGCGAAGAGCGAAAAAGTCGCGTTCTGTCCTAAGTACCCACACCCTGCATCCCGCGAGGGGGTTTCATGATTACCATCACGATGGTCTCACTTAAAAAAGTCGACATCATGTGTGCTTCAAGATATTTCCAATCGGATGCCACGTGAAGGCCACGTCAAAGTCAGCAAATACAACAGAAAAAAGTCATTGCTTTTTTTTACGATGACTGATCGTCGCACTCCGGTCGATCCTAGCGCTGTGCCGTTTCAGGCTTGTCAGAGTCCGCGATCCGTCGCAGGTTTCGCTGATTTTCGCGATTTGCGCGATTCACGCGATTTCGCGATTTGCGCGAAACCTGCGACGGATCGCAAAAATTGCAAGTGCCCCATTTGAACATTTGAAACACTGAATATGAAACAAGTGGAATCATGAGCAGTCGTCATTCAGCCATCACTATCAAGCAGAAGTGGCGGCAGGATTGGAGAACACCTTGCAGTATTGATCGGGCACTTGTGATTTCCGTGACCCGTCGCGTGAATCGCGCAAATCGCGAAAATCGCGTGAATCGCGCAAATCGCGAAAATCAGCGAAACCTGCGACGGATCGCGGACTCTGACACCGGGTGTGGGTACTTAGGACAGAAAGCGACATTTTCGCTCTTCGCAATGCGACATCGCGCGGCAGGCTGGCGCACCCGCAGCGAAAACAACTACGGTATGAAGAACGCGCGATTGGAGCAGCTTTTTTGCATGCGTGAATTTGTAAGTTTCTGATTTATTGCTTGCCCACGCTCACACTCATTGTATTGAGACATGCGGTGAATCACCAATTCTCTCTCATCAATGGAAATGTTTTGTGAATTACACGATTCCGAGCGATGCCGTTAAAGTGGTATTCTAGAATTCTAGAACACTTCAAATTATTGGTGAACGAGGTAATTACACACTCATCGGCCTAGGTAATACTCTATATATCATAGCAAACTCTGACGAACTGATCCTTTGTCGTGAGTCTCATCGAACGTCCATCAACCACTCCTCTTCCAGGGTCTACCATCCATCCTCTGCAAAATTAACCTACCTCTTTCTTCACTGCTATTTAGTGGTCTTCTGGTGGCCATTTCCTCGTTCACTATCAAGTCCATGGTTAGTAAGCTTCAAATTCCTTGTCGCAACTTAGAAGCCGAGCAAATAACGCGCTCCAATCGCGCGTTCTCGTACCGTAGTGTTTTCGCTGCGGGAGCGCCAGCCTGCCGCGCGATGTCGCGTTGCGAAGAGCGAAAAAGTCGCTTTCTGTCCTAAGTACCCACACCCTCTGACACCACACGATGTCGCGGGTGCTGTGGATCACGTCGTGGTCGTCGTTGCGTATCGCTGGCGTCACTTTAGCTGATTGGTTGTGCTTTCCCTCTACAAGCTGGCGATCATAAGTCACGAGTCGTGTTCACCTTGCAATTCGCTTGCATCCTGAGAATGGAACAGACAGGTCCTGACCAAGGGGTCAGCGACGGCGGGTGTGGTTCATTAGGAAAGAAAGCGACTTTTCGCGTTCGCAGCGCGAAACATTTTTCGCTGCGGGAACCTCAGGTCCACCGCTGATCATGAGGACCTGAGTTCCCGCAGCGAAAAATGTTTCGCGCTGCGAAACGCGAAAAAGTCGCTTTCTGTCCTAGTGAACCACACCCTGCTACTGCTGGGACGGTGTGCTACTAGACCATGTTCATAGTCTGCGTTTCGGGTAATTTGGGACGCCGGGAGAGGAGTTATGAGACTTCGGTGAAAAGACGAGATAAACATGATCACCAATAAGAGATTATTGGTGATCATGTTTATCTCGTTTCACTCAAATTGGTACACGGTTTTTTCCAGCTAATCTCCTATTCTCTCAAATTTTTGACCACGAACGTGGCGCGACCGCTCTAAGGTGCACGTTTGAGTGCACTTTGCCGGGCCTGTATCCTATCGAATAAAAAACTGAACAATTGCCTTATAAACGCCTGTTAGCAAAAAAGCACGAGGACTTGTGCACAATATTACCGAACGAGCTAATGATGGATCTTAGGCCGATGTCAGACTTTGCGAATCGCGCGATTCGCTAGCGTCTGCGGTCGCGTCGCGGCCAGTGAATCACTCAATTGGCTGGTACCGCAACGCGACCGCGGACGCTAGCGAATCGCGCGAATCGCAAGTCCGACGTCATACTTTGCGAATCGAGCGAATCGCTAGCGAATCGCTCGAATCGCTAGCGAATCGCTAGCGAATCGCTAGCGAATCGCTAGCGAATCGAGCGAATCGCCAGCGATTCGAACTAGGTACCAGCGAATCGAACTAGGTACCAGCGAATCTTGCATAAAGCTTGAAACTAGGGTGTTAGGCTAGGTTTTGAGTGAGTGTGTGGTTGCCGTCGGACAAAGAGCCTTTGGTGAGGCCACACAGCCTCCGAGTTTCGCAATCTCGCGTTCCCTATTTCGTTTCGCGATAGGTACTCGTAGTTTGGTTAACAAGGAGGGCACTATTCAACTATTACAACCCCAAAATCTCAAAATTTTATTTTTCGTCGAAACTTTGTCTATAGGGGTAATTCGGTGCCCTGATTACGAAAATGACATTCATTTTTGGCGGGGGCGCCATCTGGCGCCAGTTGGCGTCACCTTGTCACGACACATGTTTTCACCAAATTCGGTGTAAAGTTCTGTATAGGGGTTATTTGATGTCCTGATTACGAATATGACATTCGTTTTTGACATTAGCGCTGTTTACCGCATACTTCCCGCTTTTCTGGGCTCTCTCACCTATACATAGCGCCTTGGGACTAAGCTTAGGGGATAGGGAGATCCAGAATGGGTAATCAGGCACCGTGTGACAAAGTTGGAGGCGTGTGAGATCACAGTGGTAGCTCACTCACTCGTAGCCCTCCTCACCTCCTAAAGCTTAGTCCTGATCGCAATTTAATCACTAGGAGGCGCAGACGAACAGAATAAGGCACCAAATGGAGCTAGCGCCAAGAATGAATGTCATATTCGTAATCAGGACATCAAATAACCCCTGTACAGAATTTTACACCGAAATTGGTGAAAACAGGTGTCGTGACAAGGTGGCGCCATCTAGCGCCACCGCCAAAAATGAATGTCATTTTCGTAATCAGGGGACGGAATTACCCCCATAGCAAAATTCGACGACGAAATAAAATTTTGAGATTTTGGGGTTGTAATAGTTGAATATACAAGGAGTAATTAAATTATTCGATCATTTCTGTCAATATCTAACACCGTTTGGCTGGTAGTAGAAATGATCGAATAATTTAATTACTCCTTGTAAACCAATCAACGAGTACCTATAGTGGACGAAATAGGGGAGTAAAACGCGAAATTGCGAAATTCGGAGGTTGTGTGGCCTCACCAAAGGCTCTTTGTCCGGCGGCAACCACACACTCACTCAAAACCTAGCCTAACACCCTAGTTTCAAGCTTTATGCAAGATTCGCTGGTACCTAGTTCGAATCGCTGGTGCATCGTTCGATTCGCTCGATTCGCTCTTTCGCAGCGATTACGCTCGATTCGCTCGATTTGCTAGCGAGTCGTCTCGATCGCAAGTAGGCGTCGGTCCAATAAGCGCGCGGATTCGCATAAGTCGGACATCGGCCTAAGGGTGAATGCCTTGTTTTCAGATCTTGCTGTTTCTACACGATATGTCGTTCTGCCGTGGCGTCAATACGCTCAAAGTGTCAGCAAAACTGTTTGCTGAAAATCGAGCTCGTCTAGTGGCAGCACTTAAGGTCTTTATTCCAGTTTCAGCTTGAATAGTGCGTTCGTGTGCGTACTGTCGGGGGGGGGGGGGGCACGCGATGGCGCGGCGCTGTTTTCGTCTGCTCTACCAAGGCTTAGTCACCGATGGCGCGTATTTTGAAACTGCCACATAATGGCGAAAGAGTAACTGTCCCTGTGGACTAAGCCCTGGAGGAGCAGACGAACAGAGCGCCGCGCCATCGCGTGCCCCCCCCCCCCGAACCCGAGTTTCGCCCATTTGTCTGTTATACAAGCAGTAAAATCTAGTTCCCCCAGGTACATCAAAGCTGCCTTTCGAAGGGGCCCATTTGTACATTAACAGGGTTTGGCACCCTTTCTGGCCGCGGAAACCCCTTCCTTTAAATCGTATTCTCTTCAAAATCACGTACTGACCTGCTCTATCTAGTATATGGGTAGTTCCGGCGTGTTGGGCCGCGCCCACAGTTCACAGCTCGGGGACTGGGATATTAAGCGATGGAATATTAGGATAGTTGTAGGATAGGATTTTCTGCTGAAAGATATGGATATTTATCGACTGGAATCGCTGGAGAGTAGCAGGTTTAGGCGTCTTCAGGCCAATCAATCAATACGTATCTGATCATTTCAGCGCACTGCATTAATGTGGTTTGCTAAGACAGAAAGCGACTTTTCCGCTTTTTGCGTGCGAAACTTTTCGTTACGAGGAACTCCGGGTCCAGTCATGATGAGGAGTGGACCTGGGGTTCCCACAATGAAAAGGGCTTTCGCGCCGTGAAAAGCGAAAAGGGTTGTTCTGTCCTAGCGACCCACACCTCTAAGCTACTACTATCCCAATCTTCCTGTCGAATACATATCTTTTTCGTTGACGATCCGATCTTTGACCTGATCTTCAGAGTCTCGAATATGCGTGACATGAAGCTTCTAAGAACAGATCCTGTAAGGGAGTGTGCTTCAAAGTAGTAATGCCTGCCTTTACAGGGAGTAGCTCCAGGAAGTGTTGTGCTACTACAAGGCGGAATTGAGAAAAATCGCTACAATACTGACACGGAAGACTTACCATTTAGACAGGTACTAGTCTTGTACTCATCTTCTTCTTTAGTAATTGTCTTCCACCCAGGAATCGTACTTCTTTTGGACATTCGGTGTCCACGAAAGTGATTTTTATGGGACGGTAGATGTGGACTCTGGGAAATCGTGCCTTTTCCCACCAACCCTCCACCCTAGCTATGCTGTTTGGGATGGCAAGTACTGGTTTTCTCCGCTCATTCTCTGCTGATAGCATAACTCAGTGTTTAGTCATGAATTGCCTAAATAACCTATTATTTCAGAATCAACGACGAATCCTATTTCAAAAATAAGTACGAAGTCGACGAAGTTTATTTCCAGAGTAAGAATGTTATAAGTGACTACATCAAAGGACTCAAAAGGAAGAAAGTTCTGCTTTTGGTGGGTAAAATCTCATGGGATCCGATTGTTCTATGATTGAACGCCTTTCAGAGAGCGGAAAACAGCGACAGTGGGAACGTTCTCGAGCCGCCAGCATTTGCTGGCAAGGATTCGTATGTTGTTAACTATTTATTCCTTAAAAGAAGAAAGGTTCATGAAATTAGAAAGAGCATTGCTCTGATTCGAGGATTGAGAAATAGCCTCGAGTCAGAAGTTTGTGGTCTGCTTTCAGATTTGACGTTGATGTTAATAAACTGTACCCTGTCATGGCTGAACTACGCGTTTTCAAAACGGATGAGGAGCTGGAGGTGAGTCTAGTCGATTTGAGTCGTCGTCTTCTGTTTTCTGAAACTCGTTTATTACGTGTCAATGCATGTGGTCACATTCAAGGTAATGAGGTACGCCAGCAAAGTTGCTTCTGAAGCTCATCGTTCGGTGATGAAAGCGGTACGTCCCGGTCTATACGAGTACCAGCTAGAGAGGTATCACTGCAAGTTGAAACTAGCGTTGAAGAAACGTTAGGGACCTGAATTTGTTGCGAGGAATTGCCATAACCGGGTTCATATCAACTTTCGGGAGGTTAGGAAATTCAGCTGAGGGGTTAGATTTGCATCGAGTCCCCAACCAAATTAATGTGTACGTATTAAGTTTTTTTTTCAGCTGAGCCTATAAACTCCTTCTTTTAACCCTATTCGATATATTCATCTTTTTCATTATCTCATTGTCCTTGACTATACCAAAACGTCGCGTATGTGGGTGGACTGACTCTGATGTGTGGTTCACTAGGACAGAAAGCGAATTTTTCGCGTTTCGCAGCGCGAACCTCGAGTCCACTTCTAATCATTAGTGGACCCGAAGTTCCCGCAGCGAAAAATGTTTCGCGCGAAACGCGAAAAATTCGCTTTCTGTCCTAGTGAACCACACCCCTGATTAGGTATTTAACTATTTAAATTAATTCCTTGTTTTCATCACGTTTCGTAATGCTCACTAAAACTCTTATCACTCTTCAGTTCATTCGAGAGTAGAAATCGAAATCGAAATTCGAAAAGCAGAGCTAGAATATAGTTGCGGCGTAGAAGAATTAGTTTTATTTCAGTGTTTTCCGCCACACTTCCTACTACTATGGTGGATGTCGGCACCTAGCTTACACCTGCATTGTGGCATCGTAAGTCATTCCTAAATGTTGCCTCAATGTGTTCGCAGCTATTCTTTATACTTTTAATTCCATGAGTTTTACTGACCGCGAAGTCGTTGAGGTCGGGTGTGGTTCACTAGGACAGAAAGCGACTTTTCGCGTTTCCGCGCGAAACATTTTCGCTGCGGGAACTCCAGGTCCACTCATGATCAGCGGTGGACCTGAGGTTCCCGCAGCGAAAAATGTTTCGCGCTGCGAAACGCGAAAAAGTCGCTTTCTGTCCTAGTGAACCACACCCATTGAGGTCATACAACGCATGGTTTCGGCGTTCTGTGGGAACACGTACATGGAACATAGGGCCATGCCAATTTTTCCCATGAACTGAACCCCAAATGGGGAAGGAAGATTGCTTTCAGTTGCATGATGTTGCAGATGGATGCCTTATTACTATAGGGACCTCAGTAACCCATGCGCTTGAGCTTTTTGACCTCTCCTTGGCATTCAGAGGGCCGTTCAGAGAAAATGAAGGCCAGTTTGTATTCCACGCATGAGCCCATGCAAGAGAACGTTTTCAAAAAGTGTTGCTGAGGGACCTGGCCGGCACTAATCAGTCAAGCCACATTCCTTTCTCTGCTCAATCTAAGCGAAATCTCACTTCAGTTACAATGCCCTACCTTTCTATTTTCATAGCAAAAGAAGAGGTGGAAGTAGTGTTACCTACGATGAACTGAAAAGAGGCAGATTCTCACAGCGATTCAAGAGAGTCAGCTCGCATGCTTCTATGAAAAGACTGCACTGGAAAAGGATCTGCCTAAGGCCGTTGTCAGACTTTGCGAATCGCGCGATTCGCTAGTAGCGAATCGCCACTTGAATCGCGAGATTCACAAAGTCTGATATGGGCCTAAGAGCGAATTACCGAGGGTGAGTTATGTGACGTGAGAAGTCAGTTTGAGTACTGGTTGGTTACTTACTTCCCTTATTTTCAGAGGATGTAACGGCTCCATTCTCCATTATGGACACGCCAATGCCCCCAATGAAAAGGAGATCCACGATGGTGATATGTGTCTTTTCGATATGGGACCAGAGTACAACTGCTACGGTAGGTAGCAAACTAATTCTTACGACACGTGCCATGGAAACTCACGAATTCTTTATTGCAGCGTCTGATGTTACGACATCATTTCCTGCAAATGGAAAGTTCACTGACAAGCAGAAAGTAATATATAATGCAGTGCTTGAAGCCAATCAAGCCGTCTTCAAGGCAGCCAAACCAGGTAGGTTTACCTACTCTACACAAAGGAACTGAACATCCACTGAGTATTTAAGGTGTCCGTTATACTGATATGCATATCCTTGCTGAAAAGGTCATACTCACACATCTCAAACAGGCCGGGCTGCTTACAGGTATCTTGCATTCTGACGATGCTCCCCTCGTTCAGTGCTTTGTTAATGAATCCAAGTAAGCTTATTACCTACTATCTAATTTCAGGTGAAGTTGATGAGATGATTAACGCAAGGCTCGGGGCCGTATTTTTGCCTCATGGCCTTGGTCATTTCATTGGTCTCGATGTACATGACTGTGGAGGATATCTCGGGGTATTGCTTCAAAAATTTTTTAAGACTATACGTATATTTTTTTCAAAAAAAATTATGATAGGATGCACTGCCGCGCTCGAATCTTCCTGGTCTAAAATCCTTACGCACTACTAGGACACTGAAAGAAAGAATGGTAGGGATTGAGAAAGCATATATGAACAGAACGTGTTTCTAGATAGACTTTAGAATTTTGAAATGATTTTTTAGGTGATCACAATCGAGCCTGGTTGTTATTTTATTGACACACTGCTTGATGCCGCATTCAAGGATCCGAAGCTAGCGAAATTTCTTGTGAAAGCAGAAATCGACAAATATCGTGGACAAGGAGGGGTATGCTCATTAGAATCTAGCCATACTTTGCTGTTTGATTTGCAGTTCGAGTGTGGAGTAGATATGCGATCATTGGATCGCGTGATCGAACGGTCGCAGAATTTGCAGACGCGCATATACGTATCTGGATCTCACTCGAACTGCAAAGGGCAAAGTGTGACCCGACCGTTTAATTTCTCGGTGGTTGACGGGAGGGGCATGATGAAGGGCAAAGTGTGACCCGACCGTTTAATTTCTCGGTGGTTGACGGAGGGGCATGATAGCTTTCTCATCACACCCCCACTCTAGGTTCGTATCGAGGACGACGTAATCATTTGGGAGAAGGGCAACGAAAGCATGAGCGACGTACCGAGAACTGTTGAGGAGATCGAGCAATTCATGTCATCAGGAGTGTGCAACGATTCCACAATAAGGGAGAGCATACGTGACCATCTCAACAAGCACTAAACACCCAAGTCCTCCGCTCCTCTCTGGCAACATGACCCTGTGATAACTCGCTCAATGCTAAATATGCTAGCTACTCACATCAATAATACTGGCATTAAACATGAATAATGAATAAACTGTTAAATGAATAGAGATTAGTGCTCCAACGAATGAAAGTAACTCATGCTCTACTTCAAAAAATTAATAGGTAACTTGTAAATTCTCTTGGTGAACTCTTGGTTTGGTTGGTCGATTCTGGGCAAACAGTTAATGCTGCGCATCAAACTAAACTCTGTTGGGGGCATGAAACTGTTCGTTCAAATAGTACACTCGATAGTAATATTATAGAATCGTGTTTTGTTTGGGAAAAAGACAA